TTTCGACACAAGATTTCTTAACAAAGATTAGAAAGGTCGATTCTTTCGACGGGTACTGGATTGTAACAGGTGACGTTACAGCCATGTATACTAATATAGACCTTTTCCAGGCTATCGATTCGATTAAAACAATAATCGGACGAGCGTCGAAAGGTATTCGGAAGAGTGATTTGACGAAGATGATAGAATTCGTCTTATTAAACAACTTCTTTAAATGCCAAGATAAGATCTATCAACAACGCAGTGGTTTAGCTATAGGCGTCGCTTGCGCTCCGATTTTAGCAAACCTCTATTGTAGATTGTACGAGAAAGGTCGTTTCAAATATCGCAACAACAAGATTAAATTCTACGGTCGCTTTATTAACGATATCTGTCTTATTTATAAAGGCACAGAAAGCGAGCTGAACACCTGGTTAAGCGAATGGAAGCTACCAAGCTTAGATATTACGTGGGAATATTCTAAACATTCAGCTCACTTTCTAGACGTTGAGCTATTAATCGTAAAAGATCGATTGGTCACGAGAATCTACGAGAAAGCACTCAATCGTCATATGTATATTCCCTTCTCCAGTGCTCACCCTCTTGCAACCAAGAGAGCCTTCGTTAAGGCCGAGCGAGTGAGATATAATACAATTTGCACGCGACCTGAAGAAGCGAAAGCGTGCGAACGCAAATTGTATTTAAATCTTTTAAGACGAAGTTATCCTCAAAAGATGCTGAATGAATGGTTTAGCGAGACCCTTAAGGTGATCGAGCGGCCTATCCCTAAGCTAATACTCCCCTCCGAGTATAATCCAGTATAGGAATATATACGTATTAGTCCGCTGAAAAACATCTTACGAAAAATGTCTACCGAGGATTTCGATAATTTAAATAACATCGTAACTTCGCTAAAGCGGGGGAGAAGTCTATACGACTCTTTCAATCTCCATAATCTAACGCTATTAAATGCGTATGAGCCGAAAGAAGGAATATAATACTCGAAACGCCGTATTCTTAGCGATTTCTTTTATTATTGAACTCCAGTTTAAGCCTCTGAAAAGAGGTACGAGAGCTGTCTACTCTTGTTAAAAGCGAAGCGCGTTTGTATACTGCCTGAGTAACAAACGGCTCGACGCCCGTAGCGCTGAAAAGCGTTGGTGCGGTGACGTCAGTAACGAGTAGCGAGGGTAATGATGACGCCCTCGCTAACTAATAGACGCCGGCCATATTATATTTTAATAGATTCCAATACGATCTATCGAGACAGGAATACAAGATAGGAACAAAAAAGGTTAAGGGGCTCTAAGAAAGTGAAAAGTTCAAACCTTTTCCCCACCCTAACCCCTAACCCTAAACCTAACCCAACCCTGACCCTAACCAGAACCCTAACCCGGACCCTGGTTTGAGCTTACCCTACTACATTAGTCAGCCTTGGAAACTTCACGTGGTCGTTGCTTACGGAGACTACCTTGAGAGAAAGGGACTTACGAGAAAGCGAACACCCTTCGGAGTATTTGCGGGACTTTTTCGGAGACCCTCGGAAAGAACCTATTTTAAAGGGTCCCGTTAGCACTACCAAGCAGAACCGTAGAGTCACTCAATACAAAGGGAAAACTGACCTAAGAAAAGAAGTAGAGCTCACGATAGAAACGGCGCAATACCTTCGATGAAAAGAATGAGAAGCGACAATCAAGAATCTTGCCCCTTGCATACTGCTATAGTATACAATAGAAGGGGATATCGGGTCATATATATAAACCGTAGA